AGTCCTTATAAGCAATTTTGTTTGATGCAATTTCAGAAATTGCATTCATAAGAAATATGATTTTCCAAAAAAAAAAATCACGACTCATAAATGTTAGAGGACGTAATAGATGCCGTAGAATGTGACATAGTCGAGTGGTACTAAACACTTGACAGGAGATACAAAGGTCATGGGTCGAAGCCCCGTTGCGCCACCAGTGTCCTTTACCAAGACATTAATCTACCATTGCAACTCTCCACCCAGGCATGGGTACCGTTAGCAAAGAATTCCCTGAATGATATGAGTCTGTATCGTAGCCACTATATACAGTTAGAGACGAGATCATTCAATCGCCTCAAGTAGGCTCTAAGTAAATTATAGCAGTATGAAATACGCTGCGATGTTATCAAAAATGATTATATTGTGAAAGGGCTGATTTGTTTTACAAACTGTAGAATAATATCATCCTCAAGGTAAACGTTGACGCTATTTTTTGTATACCTGCAGATGCTGTATGGATCACGATAGATGTCTAAAAGAACTGGAAACAACTGGAGTATGTACCAAACATGCTTTCATTACCACTTACGCAGTCGAGATGAAAGGATGTGGAAAGAAAAAGGCAGCAAACATAACATGCAGTAAGTACTATTAAGATTCGGCTTATGAGTTCATTTACCTTTTATTTACTTATTTATTTATTCATGATTTCTTTCAACAGGGTAGTTTCATTCAATTCCACTTGAAGCCAGTGGACTTGCTTTTTAAGAAAGCCCTGCTGAATTTGTCTCTTATCCTCAGGCGAGGTTTTTATTTTCATAATTTTAATACATATTTACATTAATAACTCAATGAATGAGTGAAACATAGCATATGCTAATAATTCAACAATTTAATTCAACAATTCTTCCAGCCCTGCCGAAAACATAACAGTAAAAACATAAATATAATAATACAATCCTTAACAATTGCATACGTACGTGTGAAATATCAAAATAAATATATATATCTTTTAAAAATAATTATACAATATTTATTGTCATTTTATTTATTTTTTTTAAACAAAACCATGCCTAAATCCATGCCTCCATTTTGAATAATCTTATACTAGTGAAAGGGGCTTGCGCCCCACCGCCCCCTGGTTCCACCGATGTAGGCCTATTGTACTGTCCTATTTGATTGTTGTTTTAATTTCTGAATAAATTACCATTATTATTGTCAATGATAAAGAAATAAAGGTGAATTTAAATTTCAAAATTCCTTTACAGAACCTCAAGCCGATTACAGTCCTTTGGAGGCGACGTTTGCTTTTGGTAAGGTCGACTGCGCTGAGTCATTGTGTCGATGTGATAGAGACGCCGCCGTCTGCTTCAGTCAGAATCCATTCCAGAACCGCTACAAGATGGGTAGGAAACGTAAATCGGCTTGTAAGGCTGGACCAGAGACAGGTCCAGGAACAGGACCAGGAACAGGACCAGGAACAGGACCAACGGCTGGTCTACCAACCAGTACGGATAAACCAATGTTACAGACGACTGTATTTCAACCACCAGTACAAGAGACTGGGAGACCAGCTCCCATCTACCGTATACAGGGGCGGATCTAGCTTTTTGACAAGGGAGTGGGGGGGGGGGGGGTGGGTTAACCCAGTGGCGGATCCAGGATTTTCTAAAATCGCGCCGTTTTACTTCTTTCTTCTTCTTTTTCCCCCTCTCCCCCTTTTTTTCTTCACTTGGCCCCTGCGCATATAGCATAGAATAACTTTTATATAACATGCATATAATAGATGTTCATTGTATGAAATGAAAGGACCTAGTTTCATTTGGTCATTTATATCAATATCTTTGCCTAGTTTCTTTGAAAAGATATACATGTATATACAGGATATATGTCTTTCATTGATAATATTATTCAGAATTCAATGGAATTAATGTTCATTAGCAGAAAACACACAGCGGCGGAGGGAGGGCCAAATTTAAGAACCCTGATTTGAGTACTTTTCAGATAGTTTTGAGAAGAAAAAAATAGTATTTTAAGCAAAACTCATTTATTGGTTACATTGTCATCATAATGGAAATGGACAAGTATTGAAACATAATAAAGTGAACGATCTAGAGTAAACAATAAATGTATATTCTTATTCGCTTGTTTCAGTTGTCAATAAACAATTTTATACGAGAAAAGGAGTATTTAATGAAGTTATTCAGTGTATTACATGTTACTGCAAGATATCTTACCCGAGATGAATCTAAACAGTGTTTATGAAAATAAACGTCATGACGATGATGATGATTCTGAATCTGATGACGATGATAGTGATGATGGTGGTGATGATGATGATGAAGTTGATGATCGAATGATGCTAATGATGATGATAATGATGATGGTGATGATAATGACGATTATGGTGATAATGATGATGATGATGATGATGATGATGATGATGATGAGGATGATGATAACGATGATGATAACGATGATGATGACGATGATAGTGATGACCAAGATGATGATCGAATGATGCTTATGATGATGATAATGATGATGGTGAAGATGATGATGATGATGATAATGATAATGATGATGGTGACGATGACGACAATTATGATGATGATGGTGATGATGAAGATCGATGGTGATCGAATGATAATGATTATGGTGATGATAATGATGAAAAAGATGATGGCGATGATGATGACGACTATTATGATAATGATGGTGATGATGATGACGACGATTATTATGTATATATATATATATATATATATAGATATATATATATATATATATATATATATATATATATATATATATATTGCGCCCGTCTATCTAGTAAACTTATTCCGAGGCAGAAATAAAGGTCCCACATTGGCACTGGTCATTGTGGGAGGATAAGTCTATTATACTCTACCCCCCCCCCCGCGCTTTCTCCTCACCCCCCCCCCCCTCTCTCTCTCTCTCTCTCTCTCTCTCTCTCTCTCTCTCTCTGTATTTCTCTCTCTCTCTCTCTCTCTCTCTCTCTCTCTCTCCCTATCTTCTTTTTATTTTTTTAAATAATTTAATTGGAGAGACATGTGCCCCCATTGTAATTCACTGCATCGTTCACTCAGACCTTATGAAATAGAAATGCATGCACAAGCCTGTCTCAAACTTGAACAAATCGCCAAATGAAACAAAAAGTCCATGATTAAAGTGTTTAAAGACCGTCAATATGCCAGAAGGGATTAGACCAGACAGCAAGGTCACTGACAGGTGGCTATCTCATTAACTCAGCTCTCAACTAACATAAGAAAAAGAGGATCATGGGGGACCAACAGGTGCCGATTGGGGAAGTTTTCTATATAGAGGGAGCAAGTAGCTACAAGTAGGACAGTGGGGCTTAAAACATAGAAATCACGGTTTGATGACCCCCTACTTTATAACTGCAATGTAACATTCGATGTGATGGTTGTTAGTTTGTATTAATGATCAAACTATGCAAACAACAGCCCAGAGGTGGCGGAGCGACTTTCAAAGTGGGGGGGGGGGGGGGGGGCACCAACAAATAAGAGCACTTTCTGGAGAAAAAAAAGGAACCTTCACAGGGAAATCCTCAACGCAAAAATATTATTGGTATATTATATAACCCTATATGGTGATTAAATTATCAGGGATGATATCAATATTTGTTTCTCTTTTTAAATCATATAAGATATTGCTTAAGCATCATACTTTGCATTTGGGTATGATAGTCTGAAAATTCATTTGCGAGCGAGGAAAATTTTGTGAGGATTTGTGAGATCGCAGTGCGAAAAATTACATCTTATAAAGAGGAAAAACCAAATCCTAATGGGGTTATAAGCACATTCTTATAACGGAAGACTAAAAGACCTTTGATAAGTTACATAATTATAACATCTAGGCTATAACTACGAGCGAGCGTAGCGAGCGATCTTGGGGGTGGGGGGGGGGGACTCTAGTCGCATGAAATTAGGGGCACATTTAATGATGAGAGGAAAAGGGGACACTTATCGAAAGGGTTAAGACACTTATTAGAAAAGAAAAGGACCACGTGTGAAAGTACAAAGGCTTTTTATCAGAGGTGAAATGACGAAAAGGGATTTTATAAGAATGGGAAATGGGCATTTGTCGACGGAAAAGAGGCACTCATCAGATTTTGATAGGGACACTTATAGGAAGTGAAAAGGGGCATTTATGAAAAAGGGATAGGTTCCTTATAAGAAAGGAAAAAAGGGCACCGATCAGATTTTAATAGGGGCATTTATCGGAGGTGAAAGGGGGCTTTTATGAGAATGGGGTAGTGGCTCTTATTAAAAAGAAACGGGGCACTAATCAAAGATGAAAAGGGGTAAGTATGAGAAGGGGAAGGGGCACTTATACGAAGGAAAAGGAGCATTTATTGGAAGGGAGAATGGGGGATGTGTCAAAATAAAAGGGGCATTTATATAAGATGACAAGAGCACTTATAAGGTGGGGAAGGGGCACTTCTTGTACCTGAAAAGGGGAACTTACTAGAGATTTTAAAAAGGTATTTATACCAATGGAAAATGTGAACTTGTTTAAGGATATAAACAATAAAAGGGGCACTTATCAGAGGTGGAAAGGGGAAGGGGCATTTTTAAACATTAATAGGGGCACTTATCAAAGTAAAAGGGGCACTTTTGGGGTACTTGAAAAAGTTGGGGTACTGTGCCGCCTCTGTAATGGCCCTTATAATTATTAGATATATATATATATGTCTTTCTGTGTAATAATAATATCAAGATAGGTACATGTATTATTTTTATTTTAGAGTTTGCTCACGCCCATTTATTGTAGTGTAGCCTTTAATCGAGGAGTTAGGAGAGGTTCAATCTTCTATATTTGAAGATAAAAAATGAAGGTGGGGCATATTATCAGGCATTTATTTTGTTAGTTCACTCTGAAATGAATTAAAAAAAAAACTTGATTAGTGTTTTCTTATTCACTCTAATAATTCTCTGGGGATCTTGTTAAGTTGCCAACTAACATAACATCTAAATAAGCAGAGTATTCTATGGAGTCTACATGTTTTAGCTTGCACACTCGAGATTAACGAAGCGAAGCTTGAAGTTGATGCATTTTCATTTGAAGTAAGTTTTAATTTTCCTTTGATAATGAGCTAGATCAATCTTCATTAATAATAATGTGATATATGACATAATGCGTAGTAAGTAAATTTAGAGTTAAATTTTCTACTGTAGCGATTATACTGCACTAGATCTATATCTATCTTACCTTTTCGATTCTCAGATGTCTTGACAGAACAGGCAGTACAATGGTCGCTGAGAAGGCAGCGGCTACTGAATGTCAGTCTCGCCTGTTCCATGCCGTGCCACTGTCGATGGAGCGCCGCTGGAACTGAAGTCCAGCTAGACTCACACATAGCTGCATTACTATCCTGGCTGTGTATAAAAACTGTTCCATTGATTCTCAACATTTCAAACACCACTGTACTATCGGTACTTTAGTGACAACTAATGACACCTAAATAGCAGTAAAATATAATCTTTTCAACTTATCGATGCTACTTGTTAGAAGGAATATTTTGAAAATTCAAATTGTGAGTCTACTGTCAAACTTGCCGATCAGCCTCATCGTATTCATTGTGTGCATTAGTGTGCAATTGTGTGTATTGTGTGTAATTTTTGCCTTTCAGCACGTAGTACAGCACTAGAGGTCCATACACAAAGTCTCTATGCTTTGCTGGAGTGGCTAGACTCGGCTTCACTATTGTTAGAAGACTGAAACTTTGTCGTTATTAAAGGGGCATATGTTCCCCGTATTGTACTGGTTTGTACCATCTTTGTGACCGACTGAATGCTGATTTTTATTTATCTATTCATATTTATATTGTTGTATTGGGCCTTCCTCACCATTATAATAATTTTTAAATATTACATGTCGACTATCACCTTTAATAGAAGTTATACTTTCGATTTTTCTAATGTATAACGTATGCCTTCTTACTTGTAAGTTTTGATTATATATGTAATTATTTCTATATATGTCTTTATTTCTATTGTCTTCTACATTTGTAAAGCGCATTGAATTACCTTCGGTAATTAAATGCGCTAGATCTATATAAGAGCTAACTATTATTATTATTATTATTATTATTCCAGAGGACTACAAGTTGATAAAAATTTATCTTACATAAGATTTTTACTCTCAGTTACAAGTGTCTCAATATTAATCAGGCCCCAGCATACCTAGTTGATCTACTCCATTTGCACATGCACATTCATGTATTGCACATGATCAGCCAGTAGTAAAACACTTAACGTCCCTCGAGGCTCGAATCAGTAAACAGATTAGGTGATAAGGCCTTTTCCGTTATTGCCCCCACAACCTGGAACTCCTTACCCCCTGTACTTAAGAATTTTCATACTCTCACAGTTTTCAAGAGATGTTTGAAAACACATCTTTTCTAATTTCTTATTTGTTGTAATACATGTACATGTATTCCTCTCTGTTTGTAATTAATGTAAGCTTTGTATGATAATCTTCTCTCTCTGTGTAGGTACTGTAAGTATTTATTTCTTATGCGCTTTGTATATAATGAAAAGATGCTTTATCAATGTAATATATTATTATTATTATTATTACAACTACTATTATTTCATTGTTCTATTTTATTTCATGTATTCTCCAACCTGTACCTTAGCAAGGAAGCTTATATACCTACTACATCACAATGGGGTCAATGATGGCTAAAGCTATGGATCAGAGCTTCCAGAAGAACAAGGAGTTTATGACAGAAATGCAAGTCACAACTGTAAGTTTATAAATTTTGTCATGTTTCTACACGCATAAATCCTGTAAAATTACTTATTTATTAATTTATTCATGGTTTATGTACAATTTGAGATTAGCAGCCGATTTCTGAATTGCAAATTAACAAAAAAAGAAGTCTTGTAAAATTATTTATTCATTAATTTATTCATGGTTTATGTACAATTTGAGATTGGCGGTCGATGTCTGAATTGCAAATTAATGAATAGAAATCTTGTAAAATTATTCATTTATTCATTTATTCATGGTCTATGTACATCTACAATTTGAGATTGGCAGCCGATGTCTGAATTGTAAATTAACAAATAGAAATCTTGTAAAATTATTTATTTATTCATTTTTTCATGGTTTATGTACAATTTGAGATTGGCAGCCGATGTCTGAATTGCAAATTAACGAAGAGAAATCTTGTAAAATTATTTATTTATTCATGGTTTATGTACAATTTGAGATTGGCAGCCAATGTCTGAATTGCAAATTATCAAAGAGAAAATGAACATGCAAACAAAAAATGAATAACAGTCAGAACGTTAATCCAGACGGTAACATTACAATGTAAATGTACTGTCAGCTTCTTGCAAGAAGGCCCTAACTCCAGTTGACAATACACAGCTCTTAAGGCCCTACTATTGGTATTACAAAGTTTTGGTATGGAGTCATGAATTTGGTTCAAATAAACATATAAGAGGCATATGCGATTTTACACTATTAATGATCGTTGTCGTGGTTGAAATCGAGTCTACTAAAGTGATGAAATTGTAAATAATAAACTCTTTATGTTGTATAGTGCCCTCTCAAGTCTGATATTTATTTAGCTTCAGAACAATGTTTTTTTTTTTACTACAATCGACCGATTTGCTATTCCCGTTTGGAAATTATATATCAGAACTGCATATTCTGAGATTTTCATGGTCGCAGCTATCATGGAATGGCCTTAGGTGCTATTTGAAATATTTGAAATTTACCTGGAGCACCGGTAAATTTTTGATTATTCAATTTCTCGAAAGCAGAAGCGTTTTAGGGTCTAAATTTTCTGGTGCTTACATGTAATAAATCCACAGGGGCATCCAAATATATCAACATTTTAAAGAATTACTATCCATCCAACTTTCAAAACTTTGCATTACCTTTGGCTTTAAGGGCAGCTGGCGGTATATTATACAAATATTAAATGCTCTAGATTTCAATATAACAAAATGTATGAACCGATGAAATCCGAATTTCCTAATTGGTGTTACATTTCACAGAGGCGACAGGCCAAGGTTGAATTACAAGCACATTAGGGGTATTCTGTAGGACTATTAATATTTGTTATACAAAGATTCAGGGTATTCGCTGTCTTATGATATTTCTTTGATTTGCACAGTTAATAACGATAATAATGTGGATTTATATATACATGTATATATATATATATAGCGCTTAATACAAAATACTGTCTCTAATCGCTTCACAGATATTATTACCCCGGTCATCGGATTTATTCATGCACAATGTGCACCATCTCCACTCGCCGGGGAGTATTCCTCACATGTTACCCTGAGGGCATAAGGCAATTACTATTTACACAAAGGCTTTCGTCATCCTACCAGGTCCCCAATTCTGTAGATTAATGCCTTGCCCAAAGAAGTATCTTTAAGATAGCTTTGACATCTAGAGGGAGCTTCATCCCCAAGAAATTTAAATTGATTATGCTAAAGCATGCTACATGCTGTACGCCATAGTTTGCACAGCATTGTGAGCATCTGTAAAATGATGCCTGGCTGGAATGCTCCCCAGGGAATGGAGAATGTGCACACATTGTGTGCGGGGGAAACTTGAATCTGATGACCGGGGTAAAAATACATCTTTAAAGCGATTAGAGACATTAGAGACTATTATTAACCACATTTGTTTTATTACCTGACGAAGTGTTGCAGCGGCGCACAAAACGTTGTGATCTTTCAGATCCCTTGTTGACCATACATTGCGAGACAAACAAATATCACTAGCGACATCATTTTTGACACACTTGTTTGTTTCCAGGTACAACGTCAAATCCAGATGCAGAATAAGATGAGACAGCGAGGCATGGCTATGCAGCTTGCTGGATCTAGAGAATTGTTTAATTGGTTAGCTTCATTCTACGGTGTAGTAGCAGTAGCAGGCCTGGCAGGGTAAGGAATTCTTTATAAGGTCTGTTATTATAAGGACAATCCAACCCTTGTAATAATTTCATTGAATGAAAGCAGTAGAATCAGAGAAACAGGATAGCGAAAGTTTGAAATATATCAGACCAAAATTAGAAAAGTTATGAATGTTAGATATATGAGGTCATTACAGCTATGTGAATCTCAAATTGGCAATTTTGTCTGTAGAATGTGACGTAGTGACAGATACTTTTCCGTTTGATGTGTACAGAAATATCACTAATTTCTGTTTTTCTCCCAAGTGCCTTCACCCTTGGGGCACTACTCAAAATATAATAATGATAATATGTATGTTTACCCAGGGTAGCCTAATCAGTATTCATACTGTTCTCCCTGAGGGCCCTGCAATCATATTCTAACCCCGGCTTTAACCAAGCTACTATTAAAAGTGCTCAAGCATTCAGGGAATTTCTTCCTACTGGGTACCCATTTACCTCACCTGGGTAGAGTATGGCAAATGTAGATTAATGTCTTGCCAAAGGACATTAGTGCCGCGGCGGGACTCTAACCGGGAACCGTGCCATCCACAGTCCGGTGACGTATCCACTAGTCCACAACACCTCCACATATATCTTGGAGAGTATAGTATTAGTTTATTACAGGTCCTCTAAAAAGGGAACATCATCCTTTGAGTCATACAATTTTGAAAAATTGAAATGTTAGTCATTTTCTGTGTTTGAACAAAGAAAAGTTTTCTGCCATTTCATCACATAGACATTATCAATTCAGCCAATTTGAAGAGCCCATACCCATAGTGATTGCAACTTTCAAAAATTCATAACTTTCTCATGTTTTGTCCGATTTATTTCAAACTTTCACCAATATGCTTCTCTGATTTTTCTCTTTTCTTCTAGAGTATTTTGCTATCAAGGTTAGATTTCCATTAATATACACCACATTAAATCGCAATGAAAATAACACAGCGAATCATAAATTTATTTTGTACCATAATAGGTCTGATATTACACATCCAGTCTCTTTGAAATAAGTACAGTTAGAAGTTTCAATTAAATTCATTTATTTGTTCAACCATCAACATATATAGTCACTTGAAGTGAATATCAGTATAGTACTTGTTTTAAATGAAGAACCATATATGAACATTTAAGAAAATGGAGCAATTGTCTTATTTATTACTTGTAATTCCTTTAGAAGTGAAATATTATTAGGATTTAGCTGGAAAAAATCAACACCCTTTCCCGTCTCTTTTTCATCCAAGTCACCTGTCTTTTATTATTATTATTATTATTTTTTTTGTTTTTTTGTAATGTAATGTTTCTGTTCTTTGTTACACACAAATACACAGACACTTATGCACTGTTATTAAACATTGAAATGTATGTGAATGATAATACACAAGATCACATATTGTTTCAAATGATGCCACCTGTTGAGAGATGACAAGACAACTATAATACCAGTAACTCTGATACATGCAACTCTACCTTACCACATGCAGCAGGGTATCTACATGTATATATTCATACAGATGTTCGTTAGGGCCCTTCTAAAAAAAAAGCCAAGTATGCGGTTGTTTCGGAGTACCTCGTTGCGCTCTGAAAGTGACTGAGGAAAATTTATGGCAAAGGTAGAGCCTTGCCGAAAACACGGGAAAAATGGAGAGACTTCGCACTATGAATAGCGTCTAAAATGCCGCCACCCCCCTCTCTCTGACATGTTGTGTTTAATGCATAGTTTGTTTGTTTTTATTTATTATTTATAATACAGTGCTGCTAAAGGAAACAAGGCTGCTCTAGTACCTCTGATCCCTCTCACCTTCTTGGTCGGTTATCAATGGGATTATTGCTTCAATACCAAGGTTGAAAGAATAAGAAGTAAGTTAACATTCCTTTCTTAAAATCCTCTTTACAGCATTGTTGTCGGGTCAACTGGTCTTTTGAAGTGTTTATTATTTAAAGAGTTGATATAAAAGATAAACTCCAGTTGAGTTCTGGTAAAAAAAAGAAAATTAATTTTCACAGAATCAAACGAAACTTACACTGAATGTTCGAGATTACAAATAAATGACATGTGCCAAACAATTTTGGAAGAATATGTATACTGGCTGAGTAATGAGCATAGAAAGACAAGGAAATTAAGGTAGTACTAAGCCCCCCCCCCCCCCCCCACCTATGATCTCGGCCGTTTGACTGCTGTCGCCGCGAAAATTTGCATACATGTCAAGTGAAGTGTATAGAATACTATGGTAATTTAATTTTTTTGAAAAATTCACTATTTGCATATTTATGGTAATTTACGCAAATAAGGTCATAAAATTTACATTTTCGCCCATAAATCATACATTATTCATATTTAAGCATTCTTTTTAACTATATATATTTGTTAGACCATTTGGAATAATAATACAAGACAACAAGTTGAAAGAGCCAGGTTATTCCTTATGTTATCTCTTGTTTTGATAATTTCTTATGTATTTCATTGTTTTTTTAACTTATGTATTTTATTGTTTATGTTGTTTTATATTTATCTTTATTTGAAAAATGAGATTTCCATATGTTTTGTACACAAATCACAAAAATTAGCAATTTTCAGGATGACATGCAAAGACGAAAGGACACGTGACTTTGTAATGGTAGGTCCGATTTTCGAAAAATTTCTTTCAAAAGATGCGCAAGACTTGAAAGAAAAAAGTCACAAAATTTCAGTCCAAGATTTTCTTGCGTTAAAAAATTATCGCGAAAAATGTCGAGGGGGGGGGGGGCTTCTAAAGACAGGTCCCTGGAGTGGCAATGTGCCAGGCGCTATAGGCTATAGGCTATAGGCGCAAGGCTCCACTATAATTATAATATTAATAAGATTGTCTTGTTTGTTTTGACAGAGGAAGCTGAGCGTATCCTGAATGAAGAACCATCCATCTTAGCTCTCCCTTGTGGCCTTCCAACCTTTGAGGATATCGAAGCATCTAGGGCGCAGGCATCCAAACAGGAATAACTCTCATAGATCTGCTATTAAAAGCAATCGCTCAAGTGCTCTTCTTCTCTACATGTTCCAAGGGTACGAGAGAGAATTTAAAAGAAATAGATACAGAAATGGTCCCTCATTATGCAATATTGATATGAGAGAGATTTCAGTGAGGTTTATTGACCCATGCTACGTGCTTCTTGAGCAGTATTTGATGGGCAAAGATGCCCACCAATTTTAGCTAATGTAAAGTTTGCTCCTTTAGAGCAGGTACACTATAGTAACTAACTATGAAATGACTAGAACTTATGGTCAAATAACTTCTTCTCCTTTTCTTTTTTAAACAATTGTATAGATTCAATTAAATCACTGATTTAATTGATTTATTACACACAAACGATGAGGACTATAAAATCTGTTATCTGATAACCAAGATAATTACAGTACATTTGGTTGGATTATCAAAATCATCTAAATTCAGTCACTCTAGAAGTGTAGAAATTAAAGTCTCTGACCTGTATTGAAATAAGCAGGTCTCAGGATAATTTATGATGTAAATATTAGTTTTTACTTAATTTGTGAGATATGTCATATTTACTTCCAAAAGAATTGTTAATAATTGTTAATGATATTGTATAATTTGAAGTATCTATCGGATATATTTTATTGTCTTATTGACTGAATGAAATGATAAGTGGACTGCAGTCCCATGTGTGCAGCATCATAGAAAATCATAATCTTGGGCCTGTAACATAAAAAGTTACAATCAATTCTGTCTTCCCAAGATTAATCGTTTCTGATTACTGGTAGTTGTATCTCTTTTAATCAATCGTAACTTTACAGTAAATTTTAAATCAATTTCATGCTCGGGAAAGATTGGATTCTCAAAAGAGCAGGCAATAGAAAACTCTATTGAATATAAACTTTTAAAAACATGAATTTTGTGTTAAAGACTATTGCAGAAACTCCCATTTTTATAGAAAATAATTTCAGATCATAGTAGATTTTATAGATTGATTGATTTGTAACCTGTAAGATCCACCATGAAGCTCATTTATGTGCAGGATATCATTCAAATATTAATTTTCTTGGTTGATAATCATGTCCAAAATTCAAGTATTACTAAAAAATGAAATCTCTAGTGATATTTTGATTAATTACCTAAAATGAATGACAGGAGACGAGGTAATAAAAGATTAAAGGTAAAGACCAGTTATGGTCATGCGATTGCATTGTGAAAGAAACGTTGTGGAATCGATCACAAAAAACTGCAAGGTTCTGGAATCATCAAAATGATAAGAAATATGGCCCAGTCTTGGTAAAGTTACAAGCACTGTACACAGAAAGATGTATATGGGACTATACGCACACATGCACGACACGTGCGTTTATCTCTCACAGACCATGTAGATAAACTAATTTACCAAATATATCAATTAGTGGGCAGTTTCCCGGCAAAATTGTTATCATCATGTATTGGTCAAAACATATTCTTTCACATGATTGGTAATAAAGAGCTTCCATTTCATTTTTTGATATTGGGGCGTTTCCAATACTGGTCTTTACCTTTAAAGTGATTTGATTGAAATAATGTTAGAGGGCCATGTATACTGAACATGTAAGAAATGCTGTCATATTTCAGAATATTTTAACGTGTATATTGTGATAGAATTTAATTTGTATATTTCTACGTGCGGTCGGCATTTATTATGCTGACAAAAAAACAACTCATAGAATTAAACTCTTTGGTGGTGTGAATTAAGGTTTAGACTTTGCAGCTTGTAAATGGTGTATGTTTAGAGTCAGAGTACTAGTAAAGATAGTTTCATTATGACCAAACCATTAGAAATATAATGGTGCTGTACTGTACCCTTGAATCTAAATTGAAGTATGGTGGTTTGAGTATAGAGATCTATTTAGATATAACCTTTGACCTGTTATGTGGTGTGAAATGTGGTTTAGATTTGTTATCAATAAACAGATATTGAATTATTTGACAAACTGTCTAGCCTCTCTCTCATTCTGCACGTCCATGTACTGTGCATTTAAGAAGACTGTGATGTGGGCGTGGAAAATGAATGAAGGTATAAGAGGTGTCCATCTGGGCCCTGTTCCATAAAACTCAATACCATTATCAAGTTACAAGCTACCGTTATAAGCTACTGAATCCTGGCATCTGATTGGCTGAGAACAAATTTGTCAATAGAAATTTAGAAGTTGTTATAGATACCAAGTTTTATGAAACGGACCCCAGATTGAAGACTCCCCTCCAGTCCAATGCTATGTACATTGTGAGAGTGTCCTAAAATATTGCTTTTTATTATTTATTTATAGAACACCATATCAAAGTACATCGTAACATAAGGCCTAATATTTGTATTGAATTGAATTGAATTTATTCACCACTTTCATGAAAACATACAAAAGCAAAGAATACAATAAAATCTTTCTTGCAAACATAGATGAGCCAATACAATGGAAAATACACTAAAGGAAATTACGAAGTGGTTGGATCATCAAAAAATTTACTGAGAAGTATAGGTAGATGATACACACAAAAAAGGGACAAAGAAAATACAATAATACAATCATAATGGTAATTACACACATAAGAAAATGTGGTAGTCAAACTCAAACCTTCTGTATCAGTTGAAGCCTGAAATTATAGATTATGCTTTAAATTGTTTAAACATGCACATTGTTTAAGTTTTGGGGGTTGCCTGTTCTAGGTAGTGGGTCCTTAAAATGGGACTCAAATAATACTATTTGAAAATGAAAAATTATATATTACACGAGTGTCTGCTAAAGTCGTGGTATTATATCTATGATATTGCTCTGAAATATATTACAAACAATATCTGGTAACAGTTTATGATAATATGAATACATAAAAACACAGAGTTGAAATCGTGTAATAATGAAAAATGGCTTGTGGCAAAGAATACGAACTGCTCTTTTTGTAGGAGGAAAGTACGATCAAGTAAATGTTGTTTACAACAACCCCATATAAAGTTACAAGCATATGAGCAGTACAAATAGTATATTTGTAAAGCGCTTGGAGACATTTTGTATTAAGCGCTATATAACAATTAAATATTATTATTATCATTATTACAAATCTTTTCAGAAAGAAATGTGGATTTAGCCTCATGTTTATATTATCCAAGTTTGTTAGAAAGCATGAGTCGGAATAAACTTGAAGCTCGCTTTTTGGTTTAAGAGTGATATATTTGATATATTTGTAGAGTATTTTCCCCTTCTTTTGGTATCAAATTCATGGGACGATATTTCATGGTTGGCCGTACAGGGGTCAATAATAAGTAATTTTTTCAAAAATTCTATCAACATATTGTTCAGTTAGAATTTCTTAATGTTGTGTTCTCTCTCTTTCTCTCTATCTCTCTCTCTCTCTCTCTCTTCCTTCTCTCTCTCTCTCTCTCTTCCTTCTCTCTTCCTTCTCTCCCTCTCTCTCTCTCTCTTCCTTCTCTCTCTCTCTGCCTTCTCTCTCTCTTTTCCTTCTCTCTCTCTCTCTATTTCTCTCCCTCTCTATTTCTCTTACTCTCTCTCTCTTTCTCTCTTTCTCTCTCTCTCTCTCTCTACACCACTCTCTTCCCATATAGCTCTTTCACTCGGCAGATTCTCAATTCTTCAACCTTCTCCGCCAATCAAAAAGCACGCCCATATATTAGGCTAAGAAAACTGTAAATATTTATGTTCTCAGATTAACTAATATTAATTATATTACTGTAAAGTATCTATTTTGTATATACCTTTGCATTGTGTTATGAAATATGTTGTTTATAAATGAAATGTGATGTCATTTTTAAATTGATTGTAAATTGTCATGTAATTCAGCTGTGGCTGCGAAATGATAATAACAAAACAAACTGAACTGAACTGAAGTATGATGCTGGGTTCTATTCTGCATGTACACCACAATCAATGCATTCTAATTTTTGTAAATTATGATGGCATGCATGAGTTGATATACACACTATGATCGTCTGATTTCAATGAATAATTGCAGCGCTCTGTCTAATAAAAATATGCATTTGGGAATCTTTTGTTAAAGCTCAGCGGTGTATGATGTCTCCAGATATTATTTATCATTGGTTCCATTTTCTGTGGGGTGGTAAACAGAAGGCAGACTGTACTTCAAGTTCGATGATCATAACTAGGCCATATTTCCTTGTTGAGTGTTGGGCGTATACTAGACCTGAACTATACCAGGGACGTGCATGAACAGATATACTTCGTGAAGCCTGGAGCACTTGTATGTGAGTTATAATGTATTCACTCATTGATTTATAGTAATTTGCAAAGGAGAACTTGAAAGAATAATCTGTATGCAGCCCTATCATGATGGTGTATGTCGATAAATGTATAAATTGCAAACAGTTTTGACGATTGGTGTATTATTCCTTTATACAGATGTCACTGCATGAATAAATGCAGTGCGTATCAAGAGTATTTCTGATTTTGATAGCTTATTTAGCTACAGTATGATAGAGAGAGAGAGAGAGAGAGAGAGAGAAAGAAAGAGAGAGAGAGAGAGAAAGAGAGAGAGAGAGAGAGCGAGGAGTCGAGTAGGGGTGTGTATGTATTGGGTTTTTACAGACGTGTATCAATCAAATATGATTATTTACATCTGGGGACCGACCTTTAAACGTCACCATCCGAAAGACGTGACTCAGTTTCGAACCTGCGTCCTCGGCTGAATCAGTTTGTAACTTCCACGGTTAGCTGGATTGCAGGTGCACGCCACAACGCCTAGTTGTGACAAATACATGTACTATATGTACTATGTTAAAATATGTGTATTCATTTTGTCTTTGCAACAATGATCTTCTTCAACTTCATCCTTATCCATTCACCTCTTCAATCCTTATACCAGACTCCTTACGTAAATACTAAACACAATAAACACACCTCAGCACTGTCAAATATTATTGGGTATCGCTTGCCAGACGACTAGGAGCCGCGCGTTTATTCGATTTGCTTGTCAATTTGACATTCCAAATACATTTATTTATACAGAAGTTTTATTTTCACATGACAATAAGTAACTGCCATTATCCATACAAACCTATAGCATTCTCAAGCGTATAGGCTTTTTACACACATTGTCCAATTTACGAAAATTCCCCGAAAGTATCTTTCTGTTCAAAAATATTTGTCTTTCCGGAGAGCCCTATATTATTCCATGACAAGTAGGTCCAGGATATGACGTGAAAGAATGCAATTACTTATCGTTGGCCCTCACTATAGGTGTTTTTCTTTGTTGTTTACTAATGGTAATATTAACCATAAACCATCGTGTGCGAGAATAAAGAGCGTTCATTGCGTGAGAAAGAGGGAATATCACGGACTTGCACGAAGTAAAATGAATGAAAAAAAGACAGTAAACAGAATAATAACATGATTATAGCCCCGAAGCAGCAGATTATGCTCTCTCTCTCTCTCTCTCTCTCTCCCTCTCTCTCTCTGTCTTCGTCTCTCTGTCTCCGTATGTCTCTTTCTCTCTCTCTCTTTCTTTTTTCTCATTCTCTTTTTCTTTCTCTCTCTCTCTCTCTTTCCCTTTCTTTCTATAGATCTTTCTCTCTCTCTCTCTCTCTCTCCCTCCCTCTCTCTCTCTCTCTCTGTCTTCGTCTCTCTGTCTCCGTATGTCTCTTTCTCTCTCTCTCTCTTTTTTTTCTTTTTCTTTCTCTCTCTCTCTTTCCCTTTCTTTCTATAGATCTTTCTCTCTCTCTCTCTCTTTCTTTCCATTCAGTCCAATTCAATTCAATTCATTCGGGTTCCATCAATATAAACATAAACAATTAGAGTAAATTGTTATTTTCTTATGTATAGGGTAATTGGCTTTTAATAAGAATTTTGTCTTCTCACAAATCCCAAACACTTCATATAATAAGTCGTTGATGATGTTTATTTAATATTTGCTATTTTTTTATTTTTTTTTGTTGGGGGGGGGGGGGGGGGTGGGGTACATGTATGGTTTGATGTCCATACTTTCATCAATTTGTTAATGAAATAAATGAACTGAACTGAACTGAACCTAACTGAACTAAATTATGATATGTGATTGTAGTCAGAAGACTAATAATATCATGTTGATAACAATTTTTATCTTTCCTTTACGTCTCGACCATCCCTAAATGCTAGACTTCACTATTCTCTCTATCTATTTTGTAATCAATAGCTAGCATTCAAACTCCAAAATGTCCCTGTCAAGTGTGACGTGATGGAACGATTCCTCTTTTGAGTGAAAAGGAATGAAAATTATAAGAGAATATCACAGACTTGCACGGTACACAATGGAATAGGTATACTTCGGAAAGGGAGTAAACATTGATTCTGTTCAAAGTCAGTGGCCTGAACGCTCCATTATCAGCTTATTTCAAAGATGTTGTTATCTTTTAAATCACATCCATATTCAAATATCTTACGAAGTACAAAGGATAAGCTGCTTCTAAATGTACCTCCCCCATGAACATAAGTAACTCTTGGAGATTGCTTTTCAGTTGGAATAACCTACCACTATAGACATAAGTAAAGCATCACCTTTTTCTGTCTTCAGAGTTGTTATTCGATTTGATTTGATACATTGATTTCTGCATTTGATATACAGTAATAAGCAGTAACAATATGTATATAGTGGTAATATTTTTGTTAAATCACAATGAATTTTCGATTTATGCCAGAAAATTTGGGAACGATTGACGTATATAGCAAAATGCAGAATAGCTGCAGCGTAAGTGTGCGCTTGAAGTGCATGCAGCTCTTTAACTTATGCTTACATCAACAGCAAAATATGTTAATATAAACGGGCAAAAAACAACAGGATTCAATGACAAAAGCTGACGCGCTTCAGAAGACAGAGAGAGAGAGAGAGAGAGAGAGAGAGAGAGAAGGATAAATGGAGGAACAATTGGTATGCGGCTATTTCTATGTATATTCTGAAATATACAAAAAGGAACATGTTATCTAATTATTAAGACGAACTTGCTTTCAGAAGCTTTTGAATATAATTTGTTTAAATTGTTTGTCTGTAAAAGCAGCAATCCAATAGAGTTTGTTTATTGATCTAATTATTATTATCATGTTCTTCTATACCATGCGCTAAATTTATTTGGCATGAGAGACCTTATCAAATAACTAGTGTGCGGATGTAAACAATTAGTCAGGGATTCAACTAATGGTTAATGTCCAAATACGGTTTATAGGCAGGAATATGAATATGTTCATATTGTACGTTGTCGGGCCTGTCTAGTTTTTAACAAAGTAATGAATTCACTATGAATATGACGGACAAAGAAAGAGGACAAAATATACAGTTCCTCATTCTACCATCAACAGTTCCTCAGGTAGACAAAGGAACATCCCTTCACTGCTATTATGTAAAAATGTGTATAACAGGTGTCATATGCATATTCACCTGTTCTACATATTTTTAAACAAGGGCAGTGTAGGGATGTTCCTTTGTCTACCACAGCAATTGTTGAGGGTAGAATGAGGAACTTTATTTTGTCCTCTTTCTTTGTCCGTCATGTTCATAGTGGAAGTAGCATCGTCAAAATATTCATGTTCGATACACGACTGTTGTTGAACATGTGAGGAAGCCAGTCAAATATATTACAAGCAGAGATTTTTTAGTCCAAGTAAAGAGTTAAGTTCGACTTAGGATCTTTGTGAAACCACCCCCTTGCCTAATGATCCGGAGGCTTTGTAATGCATTGGACTAGCCTTGAAGAGTATGCACATAGAAAAATGTTTTTTTTAGAAAGACTGAAAGAGAAATCGACCACAATGATTATCAATTTATTACTGATATGCCACAGTTTTAAATTGACTCAATTGTGTTAATTTATATGCAAACAGACGGTTAAATAACCTCGCGTGCAGCATGCTACCCTGTTATGCCATAAAGGTAACAATAGAAACCAGTAAATATTCTGTGAAATCGATGAACCGAAGACGTTCGATTCCAAGGGTGAATAGTTCTCAAACAGATCGAGTCTTTCTCCAAACACTCCTAGCAGTGGCAGCATTATAAAGGAACTATAACTTGGTAACAATCTATTTCCTTATTTGCATAATTTGTTTTTCCATAATCACATTTATTCGCGTTGTGAGCACCCATTCTTGTTCATCTTCACAGAGCGTTAAATGAACGATATTTTCATATTATGGAAAATTTGTTATTGTGCAAAGGCTTGGAACAAGCACGTATCGGGTTATTTTGCATCGTAGCAATGGAAAATAATGAGAAATGTATGATTTTGTATTCCTTCCTCTCTTATCATCAGCCTCTCCCCTCTCTCCCTTCTCTCCCTCTCTCTCTCTCTCTCGCTCTCTCTCTCTCTTTCTCTCTCTGTCTTTCTCTCTCTCTTCTCCTCTCTCTCTCCTATATCCTCTCTCACTCGCCCCCTCATTTCTCTTTCTCTATATCCCTCTCTCTCTTCCTCTCTCTTTCCCTCTCTCTCCCCCCTCTCTCTCTCTCCCTCTCTCTCCCCCTCTCTCTCTCTCGCTCTCTCTCGCTCTCTCTCGCTCTCTCTCTCTCCTTTTCTCTCTCTTTCTCTTCCATCACTCCCTTCTTCCTTGGCAACGGCACACGAAACATTTTGGTTGCGCAGTACATTCAGATATATGGAGAAATTAATCCTACGAATGCTTTGTTCATTTAAGACCCTAATGTAAATACTAGGCAGTAGCATATCCGGATCTTGGATTTAAGGGGGGAGGGGCAGATATGACAATATCCAAGCCAGTGATGATTCAATAGGACCCTATTTGCTGGGAATGAGAGTATAATACATATTAATAATAATAATAATATTAATTATAATAATAATAATAATGATAATATAAGGTCAATCTATATAGCGCAGAAACTCTATGGATATACATTAAAATACATCAAAATAAAGTGACTAAGATAATCATGTCATGTATTTGTTTATCCACCTTTATCATATAAATAATAGAAGATGACGTCACCCTGGACTAAAATGAGTCTCACTATACTCATCCTACTCACAGCTGGAGGATTGCATCTCATCCAAGCAGGTAAAAAGTTTATTACTATTACTATTACTAATATTATGACGTAGACTATTACCATTACTATTACTACTACATTGGATTCCTCTCCACTCCCGTATTTTGTTTAAACTATTAGTTTTTGCATACGTATGCTTTTATGACAGTGCCCCTCCCTATTTAAGTGAACTGTTATCATTTTATCGGACTACTCGTACTTATTTATTGTCCCTCCCACCTCAACTAAAACTATTATTATTAATATTACCATTACTATTAATACTTCCACTACTACTACTACAAAAAAAACACACTTGTACTAATAATAGTAATAGTGACAACAAAAACAACAACAACAATAATAATAATAACAATGGTAATACTACTGATAATGATGATGATGATGATGGTGATGATGGTGATGATGATGATGATGATGGTGATGATGGTGATGATGAGGATGATGATGATGATGATGATGATGGTGATGATGGTGATGATGAGGATGATGATGATAATGATGATGATGATGATGATGATGATGTGTAATACAAGTGTTCTATTACAACAGACCTGCTATCGCTACTGCTTCACACTTTTTAACATGTTCAAACTTATTCAAAAATAAAAAAAATACAAAATCAATGCTTAAATCAAAATCATGCCCATTAACGTATCTGAATAACAATAAAAAACAAGGAAATACACATCATTATCTCTTATTGAAAAAAATAGCACTATTATAATTTTTGTTTAATTTTTCCTGTCTCATACCAAGATGAGATGTTTGTATGTGACTACCTGGCCCGTGGTATCTACATGGCGTATGTAGATGGCGATAGCAGCTTCAAAGTCGCTAACTTCACACTACTCCCTCTCGATAACGTTGAGACTCCCATCGCTATCCAATATGACTTACGATCTCGTACCATATACTGGACTGATGTTGCTCTGGATGCCATCTACCGATCTAATATCGACGGGTCTGGTAATGAGAAGATCATTTCTGATCTTGCATGTAAGTAGAACTTCTTGATTGTACTCGGCTTCAATGTAGAGCAAATCACTTGGTGTTCATGCCCTGATCAAAATTGGGTCCAGATATGTTTCAGAGTGTCTGTAAATCTTATGTCAGTTTACCTTTCAAATAAAACGAACCCTCTTTGGAGTAACACACGATTGTAATGTGTTCCGATCGATTTTAGGTTCTTATTACTGTATATATTCAGAGTATCGTACTCTCATTAAAGTTTACAACGTTTTTCTATAATACATCAAGTGTTTTAACAACAAACGCGAAATATATATTTTTTCTATCCCTGATGAAGGTATCTTGAACAATAACAAATGCTTATAATGTATTTCTATTTTCAATGTAGCCCCACAAGGATTAGCTATTGATATTGAAAATGATCGCCTGTACTGGACCGATTCCGGTTTGGATCTTGTGGAATCCGCCAATTTAGACGGTTCAAACCGTACGGTAATCGCAGATACCGAGCACGATCAACCACGTGGAATAGCAGTATCGGTTACCCATGGGTAGGTTAACACGATACCGTCACATTAATTAAATGATTGCCTCAATCATTTTTAATAATTCTGGAGAAGAAGAAAGCAGAGAATAAAATGCTGTCGTTTTTGTTTCATTTGGTTTGCAGTTAATATTTAGTAAAAGCAGTTCAAGATTACAACGTCAAATTCAAATCTTAAAGGCCTGAAAGGAAACCTCACCCTAAAGTAATAGTGAAAAAACCGAGATGTATTCTTGCCCTTTGATGTATAATATTCCCTACGAAAGTGTACAAGATATATTTAAATAAAGACATTTTTGGCATGACGTAATGCCTTTAAGTATGACATGGGCGCTGCCATTTTCTTGAAAATATGACATACCATCTGAAGTTGTACATGTATCATGCACCAAGCTTTGATTGGAAATATTATTTATTTTAATAACAAAACCTTTACTTTTCAATGAGGAAAAATCATAACTGAGAATTAAGGTAAAATTATATTTGGTTGAAAATATATAACAGGGGAATAATTGTAACTCATTCTAATATTTAAAAATGCGAAAAAAATAGCAGTTGACAAATCTATTTCATTTATGTGAAACCTTCATCCCAGAAGAGAACCAAATTATCTATGCAATTTACGTTCTGGCAATTGTAGTACAAATGGTAATAGCAGGTGAATGAAATGCTTCATCACTACACACATCTGGGGAAGGAAGAATCAATAAATTTGAATACATTTACTTGATAAACGTCTTCGCATAGTACGTCACGTTATCAAGAAAATGGCGATGCCCATGTCGTGCTGAGAAAGTGTACATTATTCTTGCTCATATGTCTTTCTCATATATTTTGATGGGGAATCTTGCAGATTAATGGGCAAGTGTAATGGGTCTATATCATTCACTTTTAGACTCGTATTCTGGAGCGACTGGGGGGAAGCACCTAAAATTGAGAGAGCCAATATTGACGGGACGAACCGGTCAGTTATTGTCAATGCAAGCCTAACATGGCCCAACGGAGTCACTATTGATAGCTCAGGTACATCTATTGAACTTTGAACTATCATTTTGGTGAACTCCTCAATCTGTTTCACGTTAGAATTCATGTTAATCCACTTGAGATCCTTGTTTCATAACAGTTGCTTTGAAATGCTGTGAAATGCAACTGCCATAATAATTCTAATCAGCCGGTCAAATTCAATTATTTCAGTAGATTATACTTGTATCAATTATGTAGTTTGCGATCTGAGCACAATTTATTTATACGGCCTATTACCTGGGGCAACGGGCCTCTTTAAAAAGACTATTGACCGGTAGGCGGGAATGAGGGCACTTTTCAAAAGAATATTGACTGGAAGGCGGTCAACTAAAATCACGACTGCAATTTTGACGAATCAGATGGCTAGATTTCTAAAGAGAGAGATATATAATGATTAATACTGTTTTTGTTGTCATAATTACTATTAGTGTTATAATTATTATTGTTATTATTGTTGTTATAATTATTTACTTATTGTTGTTGTCATTATGATCAATATTATTATCATTATTTTCATCATCGTCGTCGTCATTGTTATTACTGTTATTACTTTCATTTTATAGCCAATTTCTTTAATGAATTTGATTTAAAATCAATCAAATATTCGGTTGTGCATATTGCACTATTCGTTTTTAAGAAGAAAGAAAATACGTATTCCTCAAACATGGTTCAATTTTTTTTCGCAGAGGAACGTTTGTACTGGTGTGAAGCGTACCTCGATTTCATAGAATCGGTGCTATTAGACGGGAGTGATCGTATACAACACGTCTATACATCAGCGAGTGTTAATATTAGTCCGTTTAGTATAGCAGTCCGGGGATCTGACGATGATATCTATGTCACTGATACTACCTACAAAAATATTATCGTACTCGATCGGTCGGAAGGGGCATTTGAATTTGTTGGCTCTTTTCAAGCTCCAACTGGACTCGCGATCAATCAAGGTGAGGCTTATGGGCCAATTCATTATATGAAATCAGAAGAGAAGAAGGTCGCAAGTAAAAGTCGAACGCTTCGTTTACCGTCATACATTTAAATACATTGTATGCTGCTGTTTTGTTCTGTTTTATTGTTATACTTTTCACCTACTTCCCAGTATATTCAACTCCCTGTTCTTTCTTTATACCACATTTGCCACTCTTCACCCAGGTGTAAATGGGTACCTGGCACATGGTGCAGTAAAAAATAACTGCAGGACCCTTAGTAAGATAAATGGTATGTTTTACCGTGTGCGCCTTGATCATTTGATTTTAACTGGATTCGGCGCCTTGAATATATAATATATCATCATTATTATCAAAGAAGACCCAATTATTATTATCGATCAAGATAGCTCTGAACTTAGTTTCAATAAACAAAACAGCAATATAAATTTAGAATGACTTATTGAATCACAGTCATTAAACCGAAATTAGAAGTGTTTATAGGAGGCAATACCATCAAGAATGGTCAATAAATAGTTTATATTAAAGAGGAGTATTTGAATTGACCTTGTTTTTTGTACAGCTCGCATCGCTGGTGTATGTGGAGCAGATGGAAGCGAACCATGTTTGAATGGTGTATGTAAGGATAACAACGGTACGATGGAGTGTCAGTGTTTTTCAGGCTATACTGGAGCAACGTGTTCAGTAGGTAATTATGCGGAGGAAAAAGGTTAAACCCTTTCGGGACAAGCATTTCACATTTTGTGGTTTGGCTTAGCAACTTCAGAGCACTAACAAAATATACCAGATGCATGAAAAGAAAGGGGGAAAATTCCTGCACATACTGTGTCCACTTTTGTTGCATGACCATATTGTGTTCGACGTCAGAAATTTTAACAAGGAAATAAGGTTTTTAAAAAGTCGTTATATTAGCAACACATTAAGAGGCTCAAACTCATTGCTTCCGATCGAGATCGACCTCGTTTCAACTTTCTACCAAATTTCTACACATGTTTATTGTTTTCAGATCTAAACATTCTCTTTTCTTTGCCTCAGGATCTCAGGTTGACAGGTGAAACAGTCGTCTGGAAATGTATTCTTATTAAAAACTTGTTCTCTTTTTACTATCATTATTCCAGAGCTGGACGAATGCGCTTCTTCCCCATGTTACAATGGGACATGTGTCAACCTGATCAATGCTTTCATGTGTCTTTGCCCTTCTAGCCATATTGGGGTAAACTGCAACGAAGGTATGTACAGGATATATGATTGACGTTCGTGAACGTAATAAATGATCTCCACTAATGATATCTGTCATGACACATGTTCAAGAGTATTTATCTACCACAACATCATCATCAATTCTCTTATTAGCTTTACTAGGCCATTTTGAACGGAGTAATGTTGAATCGAATTCGCAGATTTTTGTTTTTGTTTCCGAGCAGATTTAGATTTTAGATTTTCAAATCTGTCAAAAATAAATACAAAAAATGCTCAGAATTAAAAGCTGCAGAAAAGCCTTAGCAAATAATATCTATCAAAATTTTTAAAAAGCTTATTTTTCCCCCACAGCCTTCCCTTTCACCTCCTAAGTTAATGCGAATGAGCATTTCAATTCCCTGCACCCTTTAGCATTGTATTTTGAAAATAAACTTCTGAAAGACCGAAATAGTAACTATGAACCTCTCACAATGCTGTTTTTTGTTCTAGTAAGAATTACCCATAGCTAGCTTTGTAAAGAGGAACTGAACATAACATAACATATCGTTCTAAATAGTCGCAATGTCTCTTGTTGAGCTCCTATTTCTCAGGACCATCACAACATCGACACAAAGCCCGGCATAGTTTAAGAAGGATCAAAACAGTGTTTTTTCAAATGTTACACATTTTCCAAAATATATTTGACTAATCATCATTCCTTCATTTCTGCTCACTCTCTATCCAGAGGTCAACCAGTGTGAGGTGTCTCCATGTAAAAACAGTGGAACGTGTATCGACGATGTCTACGACTACGAATGCGTGTGCGTCGATGGATATATGGGAAAGAACTGTGAAACATGTACGTATATCGTAGTGATAGTGATAGTGGTGGTTATTTTACCTGACAGCTAAGAAAGCAATAAATGCTTGTCAGTAAGCAACCAGGATTAGGATCAGTTAATATGCATTTCTGTCTATTGATTGTGCTCGTCGAGGAGAAATCATGATTTTACCACTGTAAAATATTCAAACCAGTCTCACCAGTGAATACAATGATTGCATTATAGTTTAATGAACAATTATTCAATGAAAGTTAACAACACTGGTCGGTAGAACAAACTAAGCTAATTCAGGATCTCTGAAAGCAGGTATTTATTCCAATTTTCTGATTGGCCACTGTTTTCATGAATCTTAATTTTCCATATACTATATTTTTAAAGATTTCAATGGTGTAAATGTATATACTACATATCAGATAAAAGCAGGAATTTACATTTCTTTAACTCAATATCAGTTTGTATTGTACATTGTAAAGTTTCAGGACGTCAAATTTATTAAGACTAAGTTTATTGTATTTTCATATACTACAATAATACTCTGAATATCTGATGAGTAATTCACTTTCTTACACATTTTGTATGTGTCAGTACTTAGTTTAAAACACAGCTCTATAATAATTATAATTGCAGCAAATTCAGAGCGCCTCTTGTAACGCAACGTTGGTGAGTTAAATTGTAGGTGACACATTAGACAACCTTCTCGTCAATCATTCATCAACCCATTCGCCACCAATTTGTTCACTTACTCTCCGACCCTATTGTCAAATCGCTCGTCGCCTATTCTTTCACCTATTCGTCACCCTAATTGTCAGCCTAATCATCACCAATTACGTCACGTACATGTACTCGTCATTCTTATTATTAAACCATTCGTCTCCCAACCATTCATCTATTCGTCACCCTAATTGTCAGCCTATCCGTCACCCATTCATTCACCTACTCGTCACCCTAATTGTCAGCCTATCCGTCACCAATTCGTCCACCTACTCGTCACCCTAATTGTCAGCCTATTCGTCACTCATCCTTTCACCTACTCGTCACCCTAATCGTCAGCCTATTCGTCACCCATTCGTCCACCTACTCGTCACCCTATCTGCCACCAATTCGTCCACCTACTCGTCACCCTAATTGTCAGCCTATTCGTAAATCATCCTTTCACCTATTCGTCACCCTAATTGTCAGCCTACTCGTCACCCTAATTGTCAGCCTATTCGTCACCCATTCGTCCACCTACTCGTCACCCTATCTGCCACCAATTCGTCCACCTACTCGTCACCCTGATTGTCAGCCTATTCGTCACTCATCCTTTCACCTACTCGTCACCCTAATTGTCAGCCTATTCGTCACCCATTCGTCCACCTACTCGTCAGCCTATCTGCCACCGATTCGTCCACCTACTTGTCACCCTGATTGTCAGCCTATTCGTCACTCATCCTTTCACCTACTCGTCACCCTAATCGTCAGCCTATTCGTCACCCATTCGTCCACCTACTCGTCACCCTATCTGCCACCAATTCGTCCACCTACTCGTCACCCTAATTGTCAGCCTATTCGTAAATCATCCTTTCACCTACTCGTCACCCTAATTGTCAGCCTACTCGTCACCCTAATTGTCAGCCTATTCGTCACCCATTCGTCCACCTACTCGTCACCCTATCTGCCACCAATTCGTCCACCTACTCGTCACCCTGATTGTCAGCCTATTCGTCACTCATCCTTTCACCTACTCGTCACCCTAATTGTCAGCCTATTCGTCACCCATTCGTTCACCTACTCGTCACCCTAATTGTCCAGCTTTTTGTCATCCATTCGTCTACCTAATCGTCACCCAATTGTCAGCCTATTCGTCACCTATACGTTCACCAACTCGTCATCCGTATTCTAATTGTCAACCCAGACGTCTCTCATTTGTAATCCTAATTGTCTTTCATTAACTTACTCGTCACCCTTAGTGTCTACCCTTTCATCATTTCTATTATAAGCCTCTGTGACACATATGTGTCAGCCTACTCGTCTTCCCATCCGTCAGCCTACTCGTCTTCCCATCCGTCAACCTTCTGGTCAACCCAGAAGGTCGTCGTATATAGGGAAGTTAGTTAAATTAATGTCCATGAGCCTGAACCTATTTTTATATTCTCTCTTTTCAGCTGAAGATGATTGTCTGAGTAACCCTTGTAAGGAAGGAGACTGTGTTGACGGGATACGGGAATACACATGTGTCTGCACACCCGGATATACAGGAGTAGACTGTGAAGTTGGTTAGTTCTTATCATTTTTATAGAACAATTGTTAGCAATTTCGCGAAGGCGATCTGGTGGGTGAAAGGCCAGTACCCCCACTTTTCACTTTAAATCGGTACCCTCTTTTCTTTTCTGAAGAGTTTCACTGTCGTGGAAGCGTCTTCTTTTACTTCTATTTTACCCTTTCCTCACAACATGTGTTCCCTTGAATAACAAAAAAGACCAACTACTTAAGAAGTGGCTATTTTAGCGCTCATTTCCAAAAATAAACAGTGACCTTTTTTCTTGTAACACTCGTCCACCTTTACAATAAAATTTTCGGGACCTAACTGCTAAACATTGATTTCAGTGAGGGTACCATTTTAGCCCTCGTATTTTTTTGTTTACACTAGACATCAATACATGTACTAGTAGCCGATGTGTTTCTTTGCATTAGATATCGACGAGTGTGCTAGTAGTCCATGCCTATTTGGAGGAATATGCATAAATGACATTGTGAATCAGTGGAGCTGTAATTGTCCTCCAGGCTACACAGGAGAGAGATGTTTAAACGGTAAATATATATTTATAGGTAGCGAATAGTTAATCTTATGATATTCAACGTCATACATGTATAGTACCGGAATAGACTGAATACGGAAAAATCTTACAAATCAATGTTACTACGCAATACAGTCCATGTTTCAAAAGGATTAAACAACCTTGAGACACGGAGTCTACTTAGTCCACCTCGTACCGTCTCAGTCGTGCTAATGCTAATAATAAAAAAAAATTAAATCCGCTTTCAGAATGTGACATGCCATTTAACAGAATCAAAGAAGTATACAAACGAAATGCATTTACTATATAACACATGTTTTGGCCCGGTTTTTTGTGGATAAACCGATCAAGGTGATTGTGCTAAATAGGAATTTTGTAATCATTTTGCGAAAAACATATACAATCAATAATTGTACACATCACGTACGATTATGATTTCTCATAATGGCCTAATATAATTTCATTTAAGTTACTACATGCATTAAATATTTAGTCCCATCATTATATTTATGACTCCTTTAAGCAACAACAACACTGTCATTGGCTAGATATTGGTTAAGAGTATGGAATAAGTTTGAAGTTGGTACTATTTATTAGTAATGATTCCTTTCATTTTCAATTTTTACAGAATTGAATGAGTGTTTGAGCAATCCCTGCCATAGCGAGCAAGGCATTTGTGAAGACAAAATCGCCAGCTTCACCTGTCATTGTTTCCCTGGTTATAGTGGAGCCAGCTGTGAATTCAGTAAGTATAGCCGTATTTGTGGTTAGTTTCAATCGTATCCAAACACACAAATATCACGATTTCCATAGAATTTTTATGATGCCATCGCGCTTACCCAAGTTTAGTGAAAACATAATACGAAATGAGTTAAAACACATAACTGTACTTTCTAAGATTTATTTTGAAAGAGGGGAAATTATACATACCCTCTTCATGGATTCTTCATTCTTTTAATTATATAAACAACGATTGCAGCAATTATTTCCTGTTCTTAATTAACGTCTATCGTTATTCCGTTTATATTTTGTATTTGACTTGCAGATTATGAAGAGTGCCTGAGTCAACCCTGTTACAATGGAGGAACTTGTAATGATGGTATCAATTTCTTTACTTGTAGCTGTATTGCCGGATTCACCGGTTCCTATTGCCAACATGGTAAGAAGAAAAAAAAACACCTCACGCTACTTTTTTTTATCTCATATAATTTACACAAGTAGTAACAATAGTCATATTTTTACAGCGCTATATAGAGCACTTTACCAAGTAATTATTGTTACCCCGCTCATTGGATTAAATTGCTAGTCCGCACAGGAAAGTGTACACGCTTCGCTCCCTGGGGAGTATGTGTTAGACTTAATAAACCTGTTCGTTTGTATGTGTATTTTAGTTCCATTTAATTTTTCATCATGGTAACTCATTTACAAAATATTAAACTTTAGGGTTGGTATTCTCCAAAGCGGACCAACTTTAGGTTATAATATTCATATAACAATTAATCAAACCATTTCTGTTATTTATATTTCAAGAAATCGATGAATGCAGCAGTAATCCATGCCTTAATGGAGGATCATGCACTGATGCTGTGAATATGTTTACTTGTTCCTGTGTTTCTCGTTTCACCGGCGAACGCTGTGCTACAGGTAATGTATCTACAGGGTACCGTCAGCAATAAGCAATGCTATAAAAGTTAATCTTAAAGCCACACTGTACTACTTGTAGCTACTTGCTCCCTCTATATAGAAAACTTCCCCAGTCGATGTGAGGTCCTCCATGATCTTGTTTTTTTGTATGCTAATTGAGAGTTGAGTAAATGAGACAGCCACCTGTCAGTGACTTAGCTGGGTGGTCTAATCCCTTCTGGATGAACTAGTACAGCCGGCCTTTAAGTTGAAGGCTTCGGGAAGCCATGGCGGACTTGTATAATTGAGTTTCAGACATGACTTGCTTCTTGATATGGTAAAGGATAATGGAAAACAAGAGAACGACAATCCTTCTGTAAGCAGCCTTTTTTATGTATCATTTTTCTCTGTCGTTTCTGTTTTTAATATGGCTTCTTGTGTGGGAGCCTGGGAGGGGTCACATAATACCAGCAAGAAATCAAGAGAAACAATAATTTGTTGGTAAATATTTGATTCATTACAGAAAGAGTAGGTGTGAAACATAATGCCTAGGTACAACCGTCACACATTCAAATATTGTCATTGAAGTCGCAAATTAGGCGCCAAGAGGGGCGGCCTCGAAAGCAGACCTGATCGGGAAGTGTTGCCTTTATTGCAAGCTAAGAGTAAGAGCTGTAAGAGCTTGGGTACAGCTTGTTTTATAATGAAATCATAGAAGTGCATCTTTTATTGGATGGTCGTAGATATTTCGTCTTGTTAAACACGATCAATATTTTGTACTACATTTACTTAAAGGGATCGTTTAACAATGTTAAATCTGAGATACACGGCCCTACATGTTATCAGTGTCTGTGCAATGGTGTAATATTGAAGCCCTAAAAAAATTGCGCTTCAAAATGATCAAGATGTGCCTCAAAAATAAAATTCTTTGAGTGACCGGTTTTACCATACTCGTTTTCCCCAATAGACTGTAGTGTTATGAAAACCGTTTGGCAAACGGTTTTCAAAATTTGTAATTCCAATCATAAATATCTTGATAATCAGACAGGCGATCGACTTGTAAGAGTCATGGGGTTCCTGACTGACCTAAATGTTTATAATTATCATTGCAGCATGAGCTAAATCCAGAATTTTGTGTCAGAATCTAAGTATGCACTTAGATCTGTGTTATAATTACGACACAGAAATATGAATCATATTACACTTTTCATTCTCATTTTTAAAAAAGCCGCGGCGGTTATACCGCGTCCTACACAACGTGACTCAATTTTATGTTGTATTTTCTTTCAGACCTCGGTTTGTGTCGGTCGTTCCATCCATGTACCAACAATGGCTTCTGTGTGGATCAGGCGAATTCATATAAATGCATCTGTGACACAGGATACACTGGAGATGTCTGTGAAACAAGTACGTCTTGGAACTTTATTTTCCTCGTACTGGAATGTTAAAACGATTATTAATGACTTTCCAGGTCGTGACAAAGTAATAACATTAATTATGCATCAGTCTATACTTTAGCTTCTTTATTTTTCTTTTCATTCATGAACTCTTCTCTACAATAATGACTCTCGAGTAACTCCTTGATAAATCGTTTGGAGTTGAATAGATTCTTCTCGTATTTGTTTCGTTATCATGTGTACCTTGGTTGATGATTTTCTTTTTGTAAACCAGGGGGGTGTTTCACAAAGATCCTAAGTTGAACTTATCTCTAAGTTGGACTTCAAAATTATGGAAAGCCATTAGCATCCTTGAAAATATTTTGTAAAAATTATTTTGAAGGGCATAAAATGTTGATTCAAATAATTCATATTTTCTATCATCAAGGAGAGTTCATGTTCTGGATGTGGAATTTATAAAAAGTCTAAAATACTTGAATTTCTGCTTTTGAATATACTTTATTTTAAGGCTCCAATGGCTGTCCATAATTTTTAAGTCCAACTTAGTGTTAAGTTCTACTTAGGATTTTTGTGAAACAGCCCCCCCCCAGGCCTGTAATCACGGTAATGTCAGTAGAGTGTGAGCTCTCAAATAGCATCAGAAGAAGACGTGTCAATTCAAACACAGAAACAATGGCCTTTCTTCTCTAATAATTAGGTATCAAGTTAAAACCATGCAAACATGAGATAAGGGTGGACGAAAAATGCTTGAAAATGATCTTGCAAACTCGACGTAATGGGAGGGCCTCAAGATTAGCCCCTGTGGGATTTGAAAGACATCCATCGAGATATTATTACAAAATGAGTAACTATTTCGGGTTATTTTATCCTTTGTACAGATATTGACGACTGTTCGAGTAACCCTTGTGAGAATGGAGGGACATGTATCGATCATGTAGCTGCTCACTCGTGTATATGTCGAGAGGGATTTGTAGAAACAAACTGTCAAACAAGTAAGGTCTTCAATCACATTCATTTATTGCTAAAAGAAATGAGAGAATAAGCATGTAGTGCAGCCATTATATCAAAGCTACTTCTTAGTGTCGTCCTATAGCAAACATTTCAAAAAACGACTCATCCCTATTATTTTTGTTGGTTCTTTTACACTGCATTCATGTAATCGTTTAGTAGTTTGTATTTTTCTTTACACAAAAAAATCCACTCACAGACATATGAAATATTATATATATATATACAGATGTATATATATACAGTCAAACTAGCTTTTAATTAGTGACCACCTGTCTACAACAAGTACATTTTTTTGTTTCCCTTGAAAATGGTTTCTCATTGAAACATGTACTAAAGGAACCTGCCTACAAAGACCACTTTTTGTGTTTCCCTTGGGCGGTCGCCATAGACAGGTTGACTGTATTTCTAACAGATTTATCCTCTGTGTTTTGTGATCCGTGCGCACTTAGCAATAATTGCAAATATACCACCAAAAATAAACACTTTATTCTTTAATTTCACCCCCCTCCCCACAAAAAAAAAATGTGAGTGTTGGTAAAATGATCATAGAGCATGATAAAGACGTACGTACCCTATCTATATTTCAGGATCGAAGGAGTGTGCCAGTAATCCCTGCATCTATGGTCGGTGTGTAGACGCTCATAACAAGTACACGTGTGAATGTGACGATGGTTATACAGGGTCTTCATGCGATACAGGTAAGAATCCAACGCACTAACCTAGGGTTTCTAAGTCCATACTTATTTTAATATGTTGATATACATTTGCATACGTCAAACTCTGTATACAAATTGAAAGGGAGGTATTACAATCATATTATTTCAAATTGTATTTGAAACTCCTCGTGGAGAATCAAATCACTTTGTCACAAGCACCGTGTATCTTCGTGAAGTGTATGTTTTCTTGCTACATGTAATATCATTATAAAGGCTCAGTGGTACAACAATGGTCTCGTATCCGGGAGTTCATGGACTGGAACCCAGGTCGATGGGCTAGTGCCCTTTGGTAATGCATTTATCCTCATTACCAAGTCCATCGGAGAGGATTTACGCCGCCGGCCCCCTAGTTGATTACTTGCAAGCACACACACGCTTTCTTAGCAGTCAGGTAAAAGCAAGCAAGCAACCAACCAACTATATATCTTTATGAACGTTATCATAGCGAGAAAATGAGGTAGGATGAGTAGACTATGCTTTACTAAAAGGCAGTGTCACTTTGGCTTATAGCTATAGTTCGATATTTTTGACAGATAAATGTTACAACAAGCATACTGAAAAGGGCGCTGTTAGTTTGGATTGTTCATTACTTATTTGTACACTGTTGACTTGTTTTACTTGTTTACAGAAATAGATGATTGTAGCAATTCACCGTGCGGTGATAATGGCGTGTGTGTGGACAGGATGAATTCATATCAATGTATTTGCATGACAGGCTATTCTGGAAGCAATTGTCATATCAGTAAGTAGCCACTCAATTTTTCTCATCTAACTCATGTTTTTGTCTGTAAAATATGACTAGAACCTTAACATCAAAAATGTTGTTACAGAATTTTGAGTTTAAAGCGTTCCTCGCGAAAGATAATTTATGATTATTTTTGTACTATCATGAGAAATTGAGCGATTATAAATAAAAATAGAAGATTGCAAAACCACCTAATTCATTCGCACAACGAACTCACATGTGTAGATCCGTGATAGGCATACAGGCACAATTCTGTTGTGGGGTGTGCAAATATCTCTTGCCCGAATATTAACTTTCCAGTTAATGTAACAATATTCCATGCTCATCATTGTTCTATGACTTTTCACTTCCAAATTAAGACCTTCCCAAATTTCATTATTTCATTTTTTTCTTAATTGCGTGCTACCTACTTGGCCTAGGTCAATGTGTTATCACTTGACAAAGTCAGTGCTTCATTATTCATTTACTTACGTTATTTGGATCTCTGAAGCATGTACTGTCTATTCTAGATCAATTCTGTAATGATTAATCAAGGCACATCGAATACATTGTAAATTATTGTAAACTATTGGTCTGTTTGGGGTTAAAATGCAAAAATAGGAATGGTACAAACCGTTGATTTGCCGGAGTACACTTTCCAGTATATCATTTCAAAGAAAATATTGGGAGTACCTCTGCATCAATTAATTTCTTTGTTCTGTATACAAACAGAACTAATGTGTTCACCCCCAAGTGATCCACCAGAAGGAACAGAATTCACCAATCCGACAAATCTATACTTCTACGGTGACGTGTTGACTGTCTCATGCCGTGATTCGTCAGCTTCTACGTTGTGGATCTGCCTTGGTACGAACACTTGGAACAAACACGAGCTAGTCTGTACAACAGACTCATCAAAGCAGAGTAAGAAGATTATTTACTGGGTCTTAATTCTCCCACCTGCTAACTTCTAAACATTAAGCCTAGCCTGCCTAGGGCCCCGTTTCATAAAACTTGTTATTAATAACAACTGCCACAGATATTTAACACAACTGCTCACAACCAATCAGATGCCACGATTTCAGTAGTTTAAAACAGTTATTGTAACAGGGCCCAGGTATACCTGGCCTTGTCTGTTCTAGTCACGATGTTTATTCATAAATAATCGAGAAAACGTTTCCATGCTGGCACGAGATACCCTGCCGTGATATATTTCAGTAGAGCAATTTCTCCAGCGCGATCTTAAACACAATTTGCTTTGAACAACTCTTTTCCCCAGTTTCCCTTGCTTTCGAATTGATTGCATATCCATCTTAGATCTAATTTGATATTGCACATGATTACATCCGTCAAGATTGAAATTTATTTATAAAAAAATCGAATTGTGCTGGCCAAAAATCATTTCGGAAGAATAGATTTCACAGTCGATTTCAAAAGAGAAAATACTGAAAGATAGTCAAACTTACTAACGTCCAAAATATTTAAAAGCTATGGTGATAGTATACCCGGGGTTTTCCGACAATACATTTCAAGGATAGGGCAACAAATTAAGATTTTTCTCGATTTCTTTTCTTCAGCTCTGGTAATGATTTCTGCATTGCTTGGAGTTCTTCTCATTGTCTTCATCATCACATGTGCTTTATTCATAATGTAAGTATTGATTGTCAGCGCGTAACTATAATCATCATTCTTTTATTGGAAAAGTCCTTTTGTAAAACCAAAAGGTTTTTAAAATATGTCATAATCGCGTACATTACTTCTTAACTTTAAAAGGACTATAGGCTTTTTATTAAGTTTTGATGGCTGGAGGATGCATTATTCCTTCCCCAAGTACGCCCAATATCCCTGGGAATTATGTAAATTAAATGCCCAAAGATGCCTTAAACTTCTAGAAAAACAAATTAAATCGGCTGGAACAATAATCGTCGAAGGATAATGACATCGTATCGTATTTTGGAGTACCCGTTAGAATTGAGTATATTGATATCAATCGTTATTCTTTATTAATAATAGATGTCGTCATCGGACTGGTTCTGCTAAGCTGAATACGAACAACAGCTCCGTTCGAATGACAGGAGGAGAGGTATTTATATTTACCCATTACCGTCATACATTTAGGCCGAATCAAACTTATGTATTAATCAGCCATTGTGCGCCTACAAACCTTAAGGTTCCATGATTAAAACAAATGTTTTTTTAGAAGCATTCTGTATTTCCAATGGTTTTCAAAACCATTCATGGGAGAACATGTTAGTGTGAGCTCATAGTTTCATTTCCAAGGTTGTATAGGTTTAGTAAAAGAGTACTTGAATATAAATTTTAAGCACAACGAAAATTACACTTTACACACTGAAAGTGAGACATCTTTCTACTGGTAGAATTAACATCTATCATTTTTTTCTTTTCATTACAGTAGTCACAGCAGACTGTTTTCATGATTTCCAACGCTAATGTTTATAGTTGACTCTGCCAAACATGCACAGAGCACTGGGTGGTATTCATCTACAAGTATTAATTGTCTTATAATATTATTAATTGGTGAAATTCTTTATTCTTGATAGGTTCGTTTTGAAGATGGTGGAATCAGTAATCCAAGCTTCGGGGATTTCTCTACGGACACCAACTACAATGAAGCAGAAACCTTGCCCAAAAAGGACGTTCTCAACGAAGAGGATTTGGATCTGAGCGTGGGTTCGCCGGTCGCATCCAATGATAATTATTTGGGTACATGTGATGACGTGCCCCTCCACCCGCCTTCATATTCTGAAGCTTAGTGACCCCTTTAAAATACCTACTTATACGGACACAAAGTGACCCCTCCGACGACTTTCCTATTCCGAAACTTAATAACCCTTATTAAAAACCTTCTTATACCGACCGACACTTAGTGACCACTCAAACCACCTTCCTATTCCGAAGCTTAGTGACCCCTTCCAGAAAATCTTCTTTTACCGACACTTAGTGGCCCCTGCTAACCATATTCATATTCAGAAACTTAGTGACCCTTTCTAGAAAACCTTCTAACACCGACCGACACTTAGTGACCCCTCAAACCACCTTCCTATTCCGAAGCTTAGTGACCCCTTCCAGAAAATCTTATAACGACACTTAGTGACCCCTGCTAACCATATTCATATCCAGAAACTTAGTGACCCTTTCTAGAAAACCTTCTAACACCGACCGGCACTTAGTGACCCCTCAAACCACCTTCCTATTCCGAAGCTTAGTGACCCCTTCCAGAAAATCTTCTTATACCGACACTTAGTGACCCCTGCTAACCATCTTCATATTCAGAAACTTAGTGACCCTTTCTAGAAAACCTTCTGATATACCGACCGACACTTAGTGACCCCTGCATTCCAACCATTTTCCTATTCAGAAACTTAGTGGCCCATTCCAGAAAACTTCTTATACCGACATTTAGTAACCCCGCCAACCATCTTCCTATTCAGAAACTTACGGACTCCTTCCAAAAACCTTTTTTTACTGACCGACACTAGGTGACCCTTCCTATTTAGAAACTTAGTGACCCCTTCCAAAACAACTTCTTATACCGACACTTAGTGACCCCTTGAAACAATTCCTATTCAGAAAATTAGTGGCCCCTGTCAACCACTTTCCTATTCGGAATCTTTATTTAAATTTGAAGAAAATAATGAAAGATTTACTATTGAACAACAAAATATTTACTCAGGAGCTCACCTCGATTAGCATGTTGATATTGTTAGCTATAGTTACCAAATAATATGAATGTATATTGACTAAAAATGAAGTTATATGTTGGTGATTCGGTAATAAATTCAAACTTCAGATACGTAGTTATGTTTAAGTTGAGGATCAGCTGAAGCTGAGTAGAAAGCGGTGAGTTTGAGAACATGCATTGAATTAAATTTATCAAAACATATAGGCCTACATGTAAAAAGAAAAACATACAATAGAAAAAAGAATACATTAAACATACAAAATAAAAAGCAATTATATGGTCAGGACCACAAAGAAGCAGATTGCTCATAAAAACGCCACCACTTAACAAAAATTAAATACGATTTAGTCACCATACCCACTAAAACACACACACACACACACACACACACGCACATACAAATACTTCATACACACATACCTACACGAAATACTGTATTTACTTGCACGTGAATCGATATAAGCTTTTTTGGCGTCCCTTAACGAATAATGCATTAGAAATATATATTACGTTCAGATATATTCGATTTATCAAAACTGTATATTTTTGGAATTACTTTGAATTAAAAAATGATTTTTATATTGTGTGATTTTGTTTTATGTTGACCAATATGTATATAATGCACGGTGGACATTATCAACACATTCTTTGTATGGGATAAAGGGATTTCTCAATATCATTGCTGAAATATATTAATTGTAAACTTATAGTAATTTTTTTTTTTACTGAGGAATGAGGTTTATAATGGGTTTATCATATATTAAGAATTGTTATACGAAACCGCAATAATGTTATAACCAATTTATAATCGGAATAAAGCTTTTAAAAGTCTTTTCATTCTTCTGACGTCAAAGTCTTCTCTTTTTTTAAGTTTTGAAATAGTACGTCCTTTCTATTACGTTATTCACCTGTAGACTTACATTTAACTGTTTTGACTATTCATATTTTATCGAAGTTTGTTAAACCAAAAGGATAGTGCATTACTTTGCTTAAAATTGTGTTTTTATGTTCATTCTTAAAAATGTTATCCTCTGTCGATGCATTGTTGAAATGAAGTAGTCACCTTATATATCAAGTGATTTCAAGGAAAACAATATATTTGCTCGCACGGTATCTTTATTTTGACTGTGTTTTCATCTTTTTATCTGCCGAATTATGCATTATTCAGGTATTTTAGTCTGCTTGTATCAAGTAATCAAAGACAAAATTATTTTTTTATCAACCATTACTTTTTAATTATAACGTTGTTTGCGTTTAATATTTATTAACCTAAACTAGATAAAGTGATATATGTGAAAGTGATTAATATTTTGGAATACAAAACGCCATCTTCATTACAAATCACCATCATATGAAATTCTTTGGCAAGTCGTTAACATTTCCCTATGCTATCTTCCTTTATACCTTTTTTCTATTAATTCTTCTTGCCCTAGCCCATTATATTCTGCCGTTAATAATTTCATGATGGTTATAGTTATTAATTGAATATCTAATTGAAAATGATCCAAGCTGTTTTTCTATTAGAGAAAAAGGAAATATCACTCGATACACTTTGATAAAACAAACTGGCAAAAATGTAAACAAGAAGCTGTTAAATGACGAATAATTTATTCAATTCTTTTTTTGCTCGTCATGAACAATTCAAGTTACATAGATTCAATGCAAACCACCTGGGGGTTTTCTTAATGTAAAATAACCATACAATGTTCAATTTTGACGCTGCACGTAAATAAACATTACCAAGTGGCTTTTCGTTGAGATGAAATTAAGGCACACGTAATTTATACGCCATGATGAAGCAAAATAATGTCAATGCGATTATACTACGTTCTACGTTCAATTTTCCTTTGCTAGCAATGGAGGGAATTCATTCTTATTTCAATAAGACAACTCTAACTCGAAACAGGAGTTTTATTGTAGACTCAATTTCATCAAACCATTGCTCATAGGGGAGTAGTAACTGCTAAACGTTTGCTCTAACTCATTTTATCAACAGACCAAAGTAACATTTATTGGTTCTATAAACGTATGAAATATTTTCAGACATTTCATATTTTTCTTACAATGCTTACTGAATCATGTAAGCTTTAAGACCAATGAATTTACCCGACGTTATATTTAACGTGAAGGGGTCGGGAGTAACATTCCTTGTATTTTACCAAAAGTATCTGGTAAGATTCTTCATTTGTTGTTAATTGTAGTTGTACCAGCGAGTTGTTTATTTAGACGTCATCAGGTATGACACGATTTGCAGCGATCTCTATGGCCTCTTGAGTGAGCTTCTGTGGTGGTGGTTTAACCTTGGTGATCTTGTAGCTTGGATCTTGTCCTAGCAACCAGAAGGTATGAATTTCTCCTTCACCCTGGAAACAAATCACACAGAGAATATAAAAAATTGATGATTTTATAAATTTAATCTTCCAGACTTGCTGGCGATTGAATGATGATATGTCTTTGACATCAACTAACTGCGACTATCTGAAACTATATTACATTATTATTGGAAAGTTTATGGATGTAATAACAATTTGTAACTGAAACTGTTTCTATCATACTTCTTGTTGTATACAACTACATTGTACACTCCAATTGTCTAGATATCAAGATTTCACTAAATTGAATGTTTGCGATTGAAGTACATATTTATCATAGGGTTTGTTTTCAACAGCTGGAATATTGTGAAGGAATAATGTTGTCATTGTAGCTACCTTCATTGGAACAAGGCCTCGATCTTCAAGTTCATAACCACCAAGCTTATCCAGAACCTTTTTGCACCATGGACTAACGTGGATTCGCAGAGCTGTGAAATGAATCACCAAAGTCAATTCGAAAATGAAATCCCAAAATATATAGATTAGATCATCAATTTGCTTAGGCCTTTCGTTGTAAATATGAAGAAAGGAAACGATACTCTCTCTCTCTCTCTCTCTCTCTCTCTCTCTCTCTCATTCACTCTCTTATGCCACGTGAACCCGCGATTTGTATAGAATAGGCAAACTATGATTCCAGGTATTATGGGTCAGTAGTCAAAATCATGATGTGAAATGGAATTCTATCTTAATGATGATAAAGAAAAAAGAATCAATTTCAAGTTTAAGCGCATGAAAAATATTAACGAGTAAATGAGTAACTTCAGCTACTTTTTAAGCCTATGTTACTTGGTTTGAATTATATTGAGATTTTTGTATTACAGTATAGTGTTGAGTCTTTTAAATGTGTATCTATCACCTTTAAAGATTTAGAATCAGCTTTTTTGTTTAAACATTGAAATATATACAAAGCATGTCATAGATAAAATGCAAGGTACTTGAAATCAATTCATATAAAAAAAGAAGAATAAAAAGGACCATCATTAAAAGCCTATTGAGGCTTGACAGATTGATGGTCCCGAAAATTGGCAAGTTATAACATCAATATCTTTTAGCGGAAAGGAGAAAAAGTAAGGTGAAACGAAGGTGTTGGAAGTTTTCAGTTAATTTTTAGAAGACAACTGATAAATTATTATAAACTGTTGATGAAAAGATATATTAAAATAAAAATTTAAGTTTTGTAAAATTAATTTGCATAAACACTTTTGCTCCATGTTAATTTTCTATTACAAGATCGAGCACGCAATCTTTATCTACCGGTTGCAAGCCACAAACAAATAATCTTTACAACAATCGAAACTTCTCCCAGGATACCTAACATGCAAAGTTGATGTTAAAATACCCAAAAAGGTCCTAAGAATTGGCAAGTTATAACACAAATATTTCAGCAGAAAAAAGAAAAAATAAGGTGAATCGAAGTTGTGGTAGCCTTCTGATTTTGCAGGGCATCCTATCACTTCCGAAAAGGCACGGATGAGGACATGGTAGGAGCAGCTTAGCAAAATGCACGTTTGTGTGTGTGTGTGTGCCCCATTCTTTTTTGTTTGCCCCCCTTGTCTTAAACTAAATATTTAACTCTAAATACAATTAATGTAAAAACATTTAGAAATAAGAAAACGGGTTAAACCGCAAAATGATGCTTTAATGGAATACAAGATATCTAGCTTCACTTAGTCTTTGCTAAAAATCTACATAGATCGATTAATTTGTTATGATGTTGGGAGGAGCACACATAGGAAGCAAGAAACTGGGCTCTCACATAATTCCTTGAGTACTGTCGAGGGTTCAACTGCTATTATTTTTGAAAAATAATTGAAAAATATTAGAAGAATTGGGCCATGAAAACTTTCGACATTTGTGCACTCTGT